AAATCTTAAGTTGATTAGCTTTGTTTCTGTCTCTTCTGTGCTCTTTCTATCTTCTTGTGGGCCTTGGTGTCAAAAAAACTCTCATCTTAAGTTGATTTGCTTTAAGTTGATTTGCTTTGTTTTTGTCTCGTCTGTGCTCTTTCTGTCTTCTTGTGGGCCTTGGTGACAAAAAAATATCATCTTAAGTTGATTTGCTTTGTTTCCGTCTCTTCTGTTATCTTTGCGCCTCCCATGCACCTCGTAGTGATGCAAGTGGTGCTGTGGAACGCCCCCGACTTTTTTAGCATTTTCTGTGTCATTTTTGTATCCGATGACCTTGTGGAAAGTCGGGGCCCAGTTTGTCAAAAAATTGTCAAAAAACAGTGCATTAATGATCCAAAAAAGTCTTATTTTTTGCTGTGTTTTCCAATGTTTTATGCACATTGCATTTCAAAGCCTTCGAATGCGAGATAACAAGATAAACCTCAAAAATTGCCTCTCGTGCAGGTAAAATGCAACTTTTTGAAGGTAAATAAGCTCAACACAAACCCACCCAAAGCAACTTTTTACTGTAAATTACAGTGTTTTTTGCACCTTCGAACCTGCCTCAAGACACCCCAAAAGTCTGCAAATCAAAACCTCGAACTTTCACCCCTCCCCCGGAACTACCTCCCGGCCAACAACTCAAAGCGATATTCATCGCTTTCCGTCATCATTTCTAAAAAGAGAGACATCTATCAACTATAGGGACTAAGTAACGTACCAGAGGATATATTCATCACACACGCATCGACAGGTCGGACAAGCATTCTAGCTGAGCAAAAAAGATCGGTCTTCTGCTAAGGTAGTCGCGCTTCGAGTGTTTTCTCGTGTGAGGAAGTTGTGCACATTCCCAAGATCATGACCCAGTCGCGTGTGCAGCACCAGCACGTGGAAGAGGTGGTCGAGGTGCCGGTGCCTATGCAGCAGGAGGAAGTGGTGCACGTGCCCAAGATCACCACCGCCACACGGCAAGTCCAGCAGCACGTGGAGCAAGTGGTGGAAGTTCCAGTGTGGCTCGGTGCGGTGCGGCGAGTGATCCGCGGAAAGGAAGGAATGTGTGGCTGACCATCTTTCTCCCACCACTTTGGAGCGTATTCGCGTGTATTCACCATAGGTCATCCCCAGTTGGGGCTGGGTGACATGGGTATTTTCCATGCCTTTTCTCTGCCAGACGCTTGAACGGACCCACCAAAATGACAGAAGATGGCAGATGGCAGAACTCCTCGGTAGATGGCAGAACTCTACAGGTCGCAGCTGACTCTACAGGTCGCAAAACGAATGATTCTGAAGGCACGTTTGCCTTCCATCCTTGCGGATCTTTGCCGACCCTGAGCTGGTCAGTAAACCCACAGCCCAAACCTTCACCCGCTGAAGTCAGTAACGACCGTGCCGCATCGACGGGGCTTGGAGTGACCAGGGCCTGCGATGATTGGGGCTTTGTGTTTGAATAGGCAGATCCCGCCCACTGGGTACACCTGGGCCCATACTTCCCTTCTCCTTCCCAGGTCGGAACACCTGGGAAGTCTCCCGAAGGGTTTTCGCACACACGAGACCGACCACAGGCACCAGAAGAGAGAAGAGGTGGTGCACGTGCCAAAGGTGGTCACCCACACGCGAACCTCGCACCAGCACGTGGAGCAGACCGTGGAGGCGGGAGCAGACCGCCCTGACTCGGTCATGAGCGGGGCACCCCAAATGATTGGGGCCAATGAACGGTCCCAAGAAGGGTACAAGATTGCAAGAACAGAGTATTGATGACTTAAACACTGATTTTTCAAACGCTTTTTGGGACTACTGTAACAGAACATTCTTAAGAACTGAGGGTTTGGGGATGCTGAGTTTTGGATTCTTTATGCATGATCCCGACCAACGGTTTAAGAACCTCAGACTCAGACGGTCTTCATAGCCTCAGTGGCTACGATGTGATGATTCACCACACTGGCTGTGCCTGGCGCCTGGCTGTGCCTTGCATGTCAGAACCGACCCACTCCACAGGGCCGTCCTAAGCGGTATATCCAGTTTGAGTGTGGCTCAGACATGATATTCCCCCCCAAACATGTTCCTTTTTTGTGTTGATTTGGCACACATCTTGGGTGTTTCACGGTCATAGTCCACGTGGGAATGTCCCATCCCCCGGAACTTCCTGACATGGCCTAGCTGTGGCTGCTCAGGTGCCTGTGCCAATGACGCAGGAGGAGCAGGTGCACGTGCCAAAGATCATGACTCAGACACGTTCCTCGCCTTCGGGAGACGGGGGAAGCCGTTGGGCCTTCGGTCGTAGTCACTGTCTTCACAAAAGCTGGGTGGCTGTCCAGACTTTGTGCTGGCTTGGAAAGGCTTTGCGGAAAGTGCAAGCACACCATGGCCAATGCTAGCAGCCTGTTGAACTCTCTTCCCTTACAGGGATCAATATCATCGAAGCTGCTAAGCTCTTGAGCAAGTCTCTTTTTTGTGTCAACTCTCTTGGTTTCAAAGAAATCGAAGAAGACTGGCAGTCTGACAGCATCAGGGATGAAACAACAACACGTCCAATCTGAAGATCCTAAGACCGTCTTGAATTCGAAGCTTGTGAGTTTTTCTCAAGTGGGTGATTAACCCAAGAGAACCACTCGATTTTCCAAGCCGCCAAGCCGGTGGCCCTCGTTTGCCACCACCAACTGCACCTCACTCGTCTCGTCTGGACCACCTGGGACCAGCGAAGAGGAAGAAGACGCGAGCGATCGGAACGTCGCTTTCTTCGAGGTCAGATCCACCAGCAAGTGGAGCAGAGCGTCGAAGTGCCAGTGCCCATGCAAGAGGACCCGGGGAACCAGCTTCCCAGCGAAACCTTCGGGTCGCACTCGCAGACTCGCAGAGGTGTGAGGTTCCACAAGAAGACGGGGTGGTGTTTAGCGTAGCGTCATCCAAGACGGGGTGGGCCATGGGGCATCCCTATCCTTCCTCCGTTCGTTCGGCACCCCGAGCGAGCTCTGTGACTCCTGGGTCATCCACCGAGCTCTGAATGACTCAAAGGCTCGAAGGACCTGGTCGCGAGCCGAGCCGAGCGAGCGAGCGAAGGCACCAACGAAGGACGGAGAGTCTGACTCGAAGGACTGGAGGATTTCAATCCTCCATATGAAGGACCATCGATGTCTGGTTTTTTTGTTCTCTATTTCATCAGTCTACACTACTCGTCGTACTCGTCTCCAGGAGGTGATGGTGCACGTCCCCAAGATCATGACCCAGACTCGCGTGCGCCACGAGCATGTTGAGCAGACAGTGGAAGTGCCCATCCCACAGACGCAGGAGAGACTGCCCTGCCGAAAAGACCCGACGAAACGGCAACGGCGACTCAAACGCACGCGGCGACAGGTGATGGAAGAAAGAGGACCTGCCATTCCTGGAACCCCCGTCCCAACCAGAAACAGCTCTGGTTGTTCTGACATGGCAATTTTTCAATCCTTTACATATATAGGAAGTGGCTGGGGCTGGGGAAAGATCCATAATATAGTAATATATATATATTATATAAATAAATTTCTGGTTGGTCCCATGACATGCTTGGCTTCGCCAGAATAAGGATAAATATAAAGAACCCAAGGGGTATTCCATTTGACACACATGTTTGGAGTGTCCCTCGTTTGGTTGAATCGAAGATGTTAATGTGATTCCTTTGATCCTCACAGTTGACATATGATCATGCTCCTCTACGCAACCATGTGGATACAGGAAAGCGAACATGTCCCGTTTGAACACCTGCAAAAAGGAACAACAACAATCCACCTAACATGGTGTTGGAGTTCCTTCGGGCTTCCATGTGGACCGCATGTGCATGGTAGGTGTTTCTTCGTACGATCAAACATGAGCTGATGGATGTGAGACACCTGGGTGAAGAAGAGTGGGACCACCTGCCATGATTCCTTAGAGGCAGCAAGGGCGCCATGAACAAAATCTCAGGCGGCACCTGGATTGATTTTTGCACGCTTGACCGTTCGGTAGACTCGTTTGATGACAAAAATGGTGTTTCACCGAGGGCTGGCACGACCTTGGACTCAAAGCTTTCGCTTTTTTTTGCCGCATGACCGACAGCGCACTCGAGCGCCTTGCGGTGGCTCGACCTTGCGCACATGTCTCGGTGAGTGTTTTCGGGCGAACTGGCCACTGGACAAAGCAAGAAGCATAGCTTCATGTTGTAGGGACATGTATAGCTTCATGTTGTGGCTTAGAGATTTTTAGTGTCAGAAAAAGGACGGCCCTTGGTGGCCCGGCCCACTTCTCACTCTCATGAAGTTGTCAGAAATCCTCCATGTACCGCCAGACCGCCAGACCTACCGGCAGAGGAAGTCCGTCCTCATTTTCTATTGCCTTCCGAAGTGCGATCCATGTTTGGTAGGTCCTTGATTGCAACATCCATGTCGGTTGATTCACCAGGAGAAGCTGGTCCAAATTCCAAAGATCATGCAGCAGGCTGGGGAACATTCGCATTGCGTGTGCACCCGGCGCTGACCACCCGGCGCTGACCACCCCGCGCCGTTGTTGACGCCGGTAACGCGGCGTGGACTGGCTGAAATAGCAGGAAGAGCTGTCTTCCTGTGGAAGAAGAACAAAGCTGACACGGAACGTTTGTTGTCCAAATGCTCCGTTCACAGCACTTGGTCCCTCAAAACCGAGGACTTGGATTGTGGAGTTTTTCCGGGTCCGATCCCGAAGACCCGAGGAAGACCGGGTCCGTGTTTGGGTCGTGTTTGGGGTGGGACATCAACTGCAGACCTCCACGGGGCGGTTCGGGAGGTTCGCCAGGGGTTGGGATCTCCGCAGCGAGCGATTAGCAGGGAGGCCGGATTCGCCAGGGCAGAGTCTGCCTGGAAGCACCAGGCCATTTTGGAGCATCAATATGTAGGCATATGGCATATAACTAGCTGATTTGTATGTGTTTTTGTTGGCCATGATCGATCAGAATGATGGGTGTCACATGCTTCCTGGTCACTGGTCACTGGTCACTCGTTGGTGTCTGGGTCTCGGCCGTCGGTGATTCCCGACAGGAGCGCATCACCCATCAGCACGTGGAACAGGTGAGGGAAGTTCCTGTGCCCATGGTGCAGGAGACATTGGTGTCTCTGTTTCACTTCGGGAAAATCCAAATTCGGTCTTGTTCGTTCATGTCTTTTCGTTTATTGTTCTTTTTATGTTTTGTCAGATTCACCGGTCTTCATCACTTTCTAGGTCTATATAGTCCTTCAGTTTTTATTCAGGAAGACGGAGCCCTCATTTTTCGCCCGTCAGCTGTTGCAGTCCTTCTGCGGCATACTTTTTTGAACGTATTTGCTCCGCCAGAACCGGTGCCCTACACGGTGCCCCAAACATGTGCTGTCCGACCAGAGTGTGAACTCCGCGTTGTCCAAGTGAAACGCTGCTCGTCGTCCAGGAGCAAGTGGTGCACGTGCCCAAGGTGGTGCAGCAGGAACGCCAGCACCACTTCCACGTTGAGGACACGGACACGTGTCCACACGGCCCGAACGTCTCTCTCTCTCTCTCTCTCTCTTGAGCCTTGGTGGGTGCAGAAGGACCTCACCCAGAAGTGCCCACAAGGTCTTCCTCCAGGGTTGGGGTGCCAAAAGACGAAAGAACCGAAAGAACCTCAAACCGAAAGAACCGGCCCTTTCCAGAGTCGGATCTATTCTCCCAAAACAAATAAAGACAGCCGCGTGTCTTTCGCTTGGCCGTTCTCAACGCCGCGTGTCTTTCGTGTGGTTCTGGCCGGTCCGTTGCGTCTTCACGTGGCCCGGTGGCGTCTTTTTCTGGTCCCGGTCCGCTGGGCGGGCAAATCCCCGAGTTGCCGATGTTCGGCCTTGGACACCCAGGGTGGACACAACGCCGCTGAGTTGGGTTGAGTTGAATGAGTTGAGTGTCCCATGACCTGTTGACAGTCCAAAGGAGATTGAAAGGCCTGCGTTCCTGGAACCATCAGTGTCTACGGATGTCCGCCTGGTCGGGTTTCTTCCCTCCTCCGCCGGCCCCGACCTGATAGGGTTGACCCGGTGATTGGGGAGAGACGAAGAACGCAGGAGATGGTGGACATTCCAGTGGAACAGCCGGTGGAGACGCAGGTGCACGTGCCCTTGGTTCCTTGGTCAGTGTTCTTGGCGGGTGAGGGGTGACAGGTGAGGGTGATGGGGAGGCCGGCGGGTGAGGGTGGGCTGAAGTTGTTTTAAAGCACCACCTGGAAGGAAAGCGAACGGCTGAAAGATTGATGCGCTGTGGCACTGGTTTCTTGGAGACCTGTGGGACCAAACAGAAATTCTGCAGAAAACACTGAAAACCATTTGGAACCCTCATGGTGGACCCACCTGTTGATTTGGTCGCCCAACCTGTAATCTCCTTTGACCAACCAACCTGCAGTTGAAACCGCTTTCAGCACCAAGTCACGGCGCAAACCGCAGCTGATCCAGGTGAGCAAGGTGGAGCGCATCGTACACAACCCAGTGGATCTTGTGGTGGAGGTGCCGCGACCCGTGGTCGTGGAGAAATCCGTTCAGGCGCGTTCTCGCGCCCGTTCTCTCGCGTGGTCGTTGGGGGAGATGTGCGAAGTCTGGCAGTCCGTGGTTGTGCCGGGGAGATGGGAGGAGATGGGGGAGATGATCGGAGCTGGGAGCTTACACTAGTTACTACTAATAGTAATGTTGTTTTTTCAATAGTTTGGTGCCATAGGTGTTAAAACACAAACACAATTGACAAAGAAAAGGAAAAAACACTGAACAAGAACACCACCTTTTCCAATGTTTTGTTCCACTCCCAACTCGTCTTTCGTGGGCTTTCCACCTCCACGATGACGCCGTGAATGACGAGATGACGAGCGGCCAGGTGCCCATGATCCACGTGGAGGAGAAGACGGTGAGAGTCCCCAAGGCACGCGGGAGGTTGGTCGAAAACTTACGAAGATAACTCGAGTTGCTGGAAGGTTTTTTTGCATTCAGAATCTATTCCTGAAAGCATGAACAGCCCTGAACTACACAACTCATGTGGGGTAGCAGGGAATGAATATGAACACATGCTTTAACGGACACATATCTTCTCAACAATCCCACGCCTGCTCAGTACTCCATGCCTCCCGTCTAAACGGCGTCTCGACTCTCCACGTCCTCAAAAACGACGTCCTCGTGCTCACCGGACGGCGCTCTCGGCCACTCCGCGCCACTCGAGCGAGGTGCTCAACACGGTGGTGGACACCGTGGTCCAGCACCAAATCGAGAACATCCACGTGGTGAAGCCCACCGTGGCCGCGCGGCGTGGTGTCGGGTGGGGAAGGGAGCGGTTTGATGTGGAACAAAGGTTGGTGTCCGCGGTGGCTGGGGTGTATGGTCTGGTGTAATACCAAGAGAGGTAGCCAGTGACCGTAAATAGGACCTTACTGGGGTACCTATGGGATAGGCTAGTTCGGGTCCTTCAACCTCTGTTGGTATGTGTGGTGTTCGGTGGTTGAGATGGAACCCCCCCGATCATTCCCCTATCCAAAAGGTCATCTTCAAGGTACCAGTGCCATCGAACCTCTGAAACCACTGAGGCGCCTTTTGAGTGTTAGCTTGCTTGATTGCTTCGTCCCCTTTAGAGGTCAACGAGCTCACGAAATAGCCCGGAAGTGACGTGTGAGTTGTACAAAGCTATCCCCAGACCAGTCAATCATCCTTCTATTTGTATGTACTGTACTTGTTTGGGTGTTGGGATTGGCCATATCATATCAACACCGGGTATACGTGGACTTCTTTAAACCTGCCTAGAAACACATCTCAACCCAAACCAGTGCATTGGTCGTTCCGTTCGGGTTTTTTTTCGCCCTGGGCCCGTCTCAACCCTGAGGTGCACAAGGTCGTGCAGCGTAGGAAGCCCATCATCCAGGAGCGCGTGCAACACGTGCCGAAGGCCGAAATCTCTCCACGAGCGCCACAGCGAGCTTCGGATCGGCCGAGCCTTTTGACGGGTGGCCGAGCCACCCAGATCACTAGTAAGAACAGGGAAGGGAGACTGGACGCCTAGATGGTCAGATGGTCGGATGGTGAAGTTCAGTTGGAACGACACATTCCATGCGGCATCACCCGGCTGAACGGAGAAGGGACACCTCGACTCGGGTCACCCGAAAAAGGCATCCGTTTATTCCTGTTAGTCCAGTCTTGACAGATTGTGAAAACAGGGAGAAAAGAGAAGATAGACCTCCACTCCCTCCAAAACGCGATCTACCATCATGGGATATTCCCCCAAAGTAGGTCTTGGTCGTGTACTTGAACATGGTCGACTAAGCACACGATTTTCCAGGTGTCTCCTGGGAGTTCCCACTAAGAAGAGAACTGAATCCTTGAAAGACCAGACTGACAGACTGGCTATGCCAGGCTCAGAATCGGGTGCCATCCCATACACCTGCAGGTTTTATTCACCTCCAGGTGGTTTTCTTGGACTATCAAACTCCAAATACACCTGCAGGGCGGGTCTCGGGTCTCGACCTGACCTGTTTCGCCACAGCCCTCGACCCCGACCGCCCTCGTGCCCTCGACGGACCGGGTGCCCGCAGATCATGGTCCAGCATGTGCCAGTGCACCGCGTGGTCGAGAAGCAGGCTGACACGGGTGGAGCATGTGAAGGTTTCTGAAGTGTGGAGGCATTCCGTGCCTAGTTGATGACCATCCGTATCTACCATGCCTAGTTTGTAGACGAAACTTGTGGAAAATCTCATTTTTCGCACCACATCCATTCAAGGTCACACATCCCTTCCACCCAAATCATTGTGTGTCTTGGAAGACAAAATTCCCAGCCAGCTCAACCCTGCATACTGCGGAGCTCCACATCCAGCAGCACCTGCGGCTGCCAGGTCCACGTTCCACAGGTTCAGTACGTGGACGAATTTGTGGATGTGCCCGTGCAGAAGCAGCGGCGTGTGGCCATGGCGGCGCCACCACAGATCGTCCACAAGCATGTGCACGTGCCCATGGTGCAGAAGGTTCAGAAGACGGTGGAAGTACCCCAGGCGGGAGAGAGGATGCAGATGCTGCGAGCCATGCAGTAGATTGATTATATTGATGGATTATATAGGGCACCCAGGCTACTCTATAATTACTGTACTACTTATATATATATAGCTTGTGGCAGCATCCCACATAGAACCGAACCACAAGGGATTTGAGTTGGAATTTTGGGAAGGTGCAGGGGTCTCCTCAATACTATAAGTCAATAAGCAGTGGAACTGCAAAGTGTCTCAAGTCGTCAAAACCCCTTTGTCCGGGAGATTCGCCCGTCATGGGTAGCACATGATTCACCCTCCAAGTCTCCCACATGATTCTTCCGCTGGAGTAAATCATGTATGCCTACCAGCACCTTCAGTAAGGGGTCACCTGGCTGGAAGGCCCTACACTACGTACAGGGACCTCCAGACAGGACACCCCTTGAAGGTCCAGGTAGATTTCATATTCCTTTACAGGAATGTCTGGAAAGTCGATTCTATTTCGAAGGTCGTTCCAAGAACCACCTTTCTGCGGCTGCTGCAGGTGCAGTTTGAGGATCAAATTGTTCACGTGCCAGTGGCGAAGCAGGTGCATGTGCCAGTGGTGCAGACCACCCAGAAGCACGTGGAAGTGCCCCAAGTTCAGTGTCTTGCTTGGCGAGTGGACACTTTTCTTTTTGTTTTGGGATGGCCATGTTGGGATGTCCAGGAGATTTGGAGGAGTTCTCCAAGTCCGGATGCCAAAATGACCCTTTAAACACATGCTCCATAGGTCATCATAGCATAGCTCGTTCTTCACCTGGTCATCCATGGTCATCTCATTTTTTTGGACTCCGAGTCATCCAACACTCCGTCGATCGGACGTCCGGACCGATCGGACGTTTGTCGACTCGACCGAGGTATGAAGACCAGATCGTCCATGTGCCGGTCACGAAGCAGGTGCATGTGCCCATGGTGTCCAAGGTGCAGAAGAGCATCGAGGTGCCACAGGTGCAATACGAGGACCCTGACGACCGGACCGTAGACGGACGGAGTAGACGGAGAAGACGGAGAAAGGAGTAGCCCTGGAAGTGCAGGTCGAGGAGGTCAAAAATGGGTCTGACTCGCGAGTCCAGGAATTTCCTTAGCTTCAGTGGTGCCAAATAAGTGCCAAATAATAGTCGAACTGGACTTGGTAGGGCATAAGAAGAATGGTGTTTTGACCAAGGAGATTATGCCGAGAAAGACCTGGTCAGAAGAGTTTCGAAGAAACCATATCAACATAATACCCACATATTATAGATATTATAGTGACTATAGTGGCTTGACAAAAAGCAACCGACTCCTATCTACGGACCCCCAAAAACAGGCGTCACAACTCGGACACACGCCACACGACCGTCCTCCTTGGACACCGTCCTCCTCATCCCCTCCGGACTCGTCCACTCGTAGGACCAAGTGGTGGAAGTGCCCGTGACCAAGCAGGCGGGGACGGGGACGTGGCGTGCTTCCTTTCGTTCGACCGACCCCATGGAGACCGGGAGGGGTTCCGTTGCTTCGAACGGGGGATGAAGACGAGCATCGCAGGATAGCACAAGGGTGGTGATTGGAAGGAACATCTCCTGATGTCTAGGGGGTTCTATAAACCACCCCGAGCTGGGTCATGCTGGAAGGTACTCGTACTTTCTTTTTTAACATTTCTATGGATCCTTTTCAAGAAATCCCAACACAAGGCGCACAGGGACAACATGTTCCATTTCTTTCACTGCAAAGAGTCCATGGGTCTTTCTTTATCAATAACAGAACACCCTTCAAAAAAAGGGACGAAACCAACCAACTCCTGCTTCCTTTCCCCCAACCACCGCCGTCTCCCCCGGGGTCCGACTGCGTCTCTGCGTGAAGGTCCATGTGCCGTTGGTGGAGACCGTGCAGAAGAGCGTGGAGGTTCCACAGGTGTCCTCGGCTCCGGCGGGTGAAGTCTGGAAGTACCGTTGAAGAACATGGAAGAACCACATGGTTAGGCAGAAGAGCTCACTGAAAGCAGCTCAAGAGGGTATGCCAACGAAGCATTTTTTTTCTAACGTCATCCTGAGTGAAGTCTGTGAAGTCGTTAGGAGCAACCCGCCTGTTTTGCTTGTTCCCCCAGAGAAACGGTGTGTTTTTTCTCGGCCCATCTCCAATCACGCATGGCTGGTGCAGGAGTTCATTTTTCCAGCCATGTCCAGCCTCAAAATGATTGGAACAGGTTCAAAAGGATTTTAAACCCAGGTGATGTCCGGGAAGTTTCCGGAATGAAGAACTTGAAACGCAGCACGGAGTCGCTATCGGGAGCTGTTGCTGCAAAGGCCTTCATGTTTTCCCTCTCTCGCCTTGCAGAAAGATGTAAGTGATTCATGTGCCAGGGGCCTGAGCAGCCTTGTGACTCTGAAGTCAGCATTGACTGAGGTTCAGTATGAGGATCAAGTGGTCCAAGTGCCAGTGGCCAAGCACGTGCACGTGCCCATGGTGCAGACCGTGCAGAAGAGTATCGAAGTCCCACAGATCCAGTGCCCTGGAGAGCTGCGGTTAAGGAGAAAGGTGAACGGGGGGCAGAGTGGCCCTTCTCAGCTCAGCGCAAGAAAACACCACCACCAAAACAACATTTCAACCACTTCAGCTGTACTGGGTGCCAATGACCTTGAAGACCCTGTAGAGTGAGATGATTGTCAGTATGGCTGTGGGTCCAGAACTCGCTTTGGAGGTTCGCTGTGGTGCGTGGCGACGTCCGTGACATTCCATGACCATTTTTTCTTGCATACTGACCACAATGATCAGCGGCTGATCAGCGGATGTGGTGATGTGGCAAAACCCCAAGCAGACACAGTTCTGGTTGGAACCTCATCTGGCCCTTTTTTTGATCTTTTAGACATCTTCGAATTGGCGACGGCGGGGTTTCAACAAGAACTGTTTTTGGCTGGGACGGTGTCTCCGGCTTGGTGTGTGTCAGGCCCCGAGGCGGTCCGGGCTGCGATGCCGAGGTTTGAGGATGAGATTGTCCACGTGCCGGTTCAGTCGTTTGGGCCGCATGGAGCCGTCGCGCGGTTGCGGCTTTCTTTTTGCAGCCTGTCGTCCGCTGGAACCCAGCGTTGGTGCAGGGACTCGGTTCTGTGACGTGCCAGTGAACCTCCTCCTGGGAGGGCATGGAGTGGTGCTGGAGTTGGCCGGGCTTCATATGGAGTGGTTTCGGTTGGAAAGGTGGAAAGGTCGGGTCTGTCCCAGTGAACCGTCGCGGCGTGACGTCAGTAAAGTAAACATCTCACTATCTTAGAGATGTCGGCCCAAACTGAACCATCATCATCCACTGTTGCTGGTAATGGGATAGACGGAAGGTTTAAAGGTGACATGCTAGACGAACTGGAGATTCTTCATCAAGAAAATGAAGGGTGATTCTTGATTGAATGCCCTCACAAAGTGTTTTTTCTGCACAGACTGATGGTTTGGCGGAACCCCTCTAGTCAGTCGTGGGTATGCAGAACTTCCTGGAGTGCCTGGAAAAAAATCTAAAACAACCATTTAAGGGACCACCATTCTCCTTCCAAAGCCCCCCCGGTACCTGGCAGGAACAAAGTATACGGAAGCTAGTGCGCATGTCACACATATTTCCCCAATAGCCATGCTATGGGGTCTTGCAAAACTAATAGGCGGACGGGCGCCGTCGGGTCACCGTCAGAGCTGGTGGGCGGATGGTGTCCCGGTCATGTTTTGATGGCGTCCGGGTCATGTGATGCTGGTGTCCCGGTCATGTTTTGATGGTGTCCCGGTCATGTTGTGATGGTGTCCCGGTCATGTTTTGATGGTGTCCCGGTCATGTTGTGATGGTTTTCCCGTCATGTCATGTTGGTGTCCCGGTCACCTTGTGATGGTGTCCCGGTCATGTTGTGATTGTGTCCCAGTCATGTTGTGACGATGTCCCAGTCATGTTGTGATGGTGTCTCGCTCATGTTGTGACGGTGTCCCGGTCGTGTTTTGATGGTGTCCCGGTCCTGTTGTGATGGTGTCCTGGTCATGTTTTGGCGGTGTGCCGGTTATGTTTTGATGGTGTCCGGGTCATGTGACGGTGTCCCGGTCATGTTGTGATGGTGTCCTGGTCATCTTGTGATGGTGTCCCCGTCATGTCATGCTGGTGTCCCGGTCACCTTGTGATGGTGTCCCGGTTATGTTGTGATGGTGTCCCAATCATGTTGTGACGGTGTCTCGGTCATGTTTTGATGGTGCCCTGGTCATTTTGTGATGGTGTCCCGGTTATGTGATGATGGTGTCCAAGGAAGAGATGGTCAATGTGTTGAAAACAGCAGCTGTTTCCAGATTTTTCTTTTTGTCCCGGTTTGTATCTTGCTATTGGGGTCTGCAGCTGGGCTAATTTCTTACTCTGTCTAGTTCATGGGAACCTAGAAGCTCTGATCGTTTGTTCTCTGAGCATCCTATTGACATACAGTAAACGAAAGGCCATGACATGAGATATCTGACTCCAAGAACAGCCAATCGCCGGCAAGAATGACGAGCAAACCTCTCGCCCGTAAAACTTCCAGGATGCCAGATGCTCGTTTGGTGTTTGTTACGTTTGCTTTTTTTCCCCAAAGGAAGCAGATCAATGTGCCCATGGTCCAGCAAGTGGAAAGGAGCGCCGCTGCCGCGGATTGTCGACGCGAGCCGGGTGGACCCGAGCGGATGGCCCAAACGCGCCCAGCGGGGGAAGAGCTGCTGAAGCTGCCTGTGCCCGTGGGTTTCATAGGCGGAGGAGGTGAATCCGAAGTGGCGAGGGCCCGGGCATTGATCTATGGATGAAAAGGATTCAATGCATTGCAATCATATCGTTTCAAAGGCTTTTCAATCTATTTCAATCATATGGTACCAACAACTCGTTTCAAAGGTTTTTACCGACCTGGAGGAACCCGTGAACTACGTCGAACCCCCTTCCGGGGCGGCCTTTCCGCCAAACACGCCAAACACGCCACCCCGGAGAGCCGCTCGTGCTGGTCCCGTGCCGCGGCCCTCTCGCCTGCCGGAGGAGTGTCGATGTGCCTCAGATCCAGTACGAGGACCAGGCGCGGTGAGCTGGAGCGGACCCAGCTGTGGACTTCGGACGTGGAAGCGAAAGGGGGGGAAGCGGAAGCGAAAGGGGGGGCGCGAAGGGCGCGAAGGGCGATTCCGGTGGCACCTTGGGGAGTAGCGAGAAGGCTGGAAGACTTGTGAGAGTAGCATGTCTTGTGGCGAATGAGGACTTGTGAGAGTTTTTGGGATTCACAGAAGAAAATTGATCACCTTCAGCAGTTTTCCAACCGCCGCTTGGGCAGGATGGAGGGCCCCGACGAGCGATCGAACCTGGAGCCGGGATCGAACCCCGTTGGAGACGACAGACATCGCGAGCTCATCCGACATCGACCGATCGAGGAAGTGGACTGAAGACATTCCCGGTGGTTCGCGACACCAACTCCAAGTGGTTCAGGGGCGGCAGAAGTTCTCCCCCGGGAAAGCCCTCCTTTCCATCGAACTCGGAACTCGCTGCAGGTGGTGCAGGTCCCACTGGCGAAGCAGGTGCAGTCGCCCCGCGACGGCGTTGCAAACGATTCATTTAGAGAGCGACACAGTACTGTAATTGGTATGGACCCCCCCGTCTCAACCAGAAACAGTTCTGGCTGTTCTAGCAATGTTTTGATCCTTTACATAGGAAGTGGCTGGGCAGGGACTGCGGACGCATCCATTTCTTTCTGGTTGGGATTGGGTTTTCAGGCATAACATACTGGAGCTCTAGAGCCGTGCAGTCCCTTTCCCATTTTAAAGAAGTTTATCGTTATTCTTTTTTGCAAGAAGCACTCTTCCTTGATCATTGAGTATTTGTCTATTTGTCCTCGGCCTTAAACATATAAGACATGGACTACAGGAAGAAGACCAGGATACACATCATCAGAGCACAAGCGCCACAAAACCCCATTTTTTTGGTCAGAGTCTTTTTTTTTACATTTTGAGATGTTCACCACGCGAGTTGATGAAGACGCGATGAGACCGCGATGATGACACATGACGCATGATTGTAGCGTAACAACAGATTGCTATCTCTCTTCGATTTTCCTGTTTGGATCCTTGGACATGTGATGCTGTGACTTGGGTGACTCGGGTTTGCTTCTTTCTTTTTGTGAACCAAGCTTGGGGGAGAAGGGGTTTGGTCGTTTGCACCAAACCGCCCCAGTCTCTGCGATTTATCCAACGACGAATCAGTCGATTTGTGGGGAGGGAAGACCTGCGAAAATGAACTCCAGTCTGGGTAGCACATCATGCCAGATCAGAGCCCGGACAATGGTCCTGCCACTCCTTTTGTGCGACTTACAATCGAGTACAACCAGGGAGAATTCATTTGTAGTTTCCCGACGCGCGCGGGCCCACTCTTTGAACATGGGGAAGCCACCCTTTGGTTTTCTTTAATTCCTGCAGGGTGCGTCAGATTGCTCTAGGTATATACACATGCCACTGGGTACACTTGTTGCCAACCGGTTGTTCCCATGCTGTTCTTCTAAAACCCAGTGGTTGGAGCAGTATGGGCGCTGCGGTGCCACCGGTCGAACTCCGGCGACCTCCGCGTCGCTCCGGCCGCGCGCCAGGTGCACGTGCCGATGATCCAGGAGATCGAAAGGACCGTCGAGGTGCCTCAGGTGGAGCTCCTCGACCGGAAGAGGACCCGGGACCGACCCTGAGACTGGCTGGGACACGGGCGAGGGTGGGAGACCGTGCCGAGCTCCGCAATCGTTCATGTGATTTGAAAGAAGTGGCCATCGCTAGTAGGGTGGAGGCCATTGGTGGAGGCCATTGGAGGCCATCGCCAAGGGAGGCAATTGCTATTAGATTGGAGGCCTTTGAAAGAGTAGCAAAATGTTGTGGGAAGGGTGGTGCAGTAATCCGATTGAGAGAGTGAAGTGCACTGACATCGGTTTGGAGGAAGCCAAAACAGAGGGGGAAGCCAAAACCAAAAGGCCGGGAAAACGGTCACTCGCGCCAACTAACTGGGGTGAGGACACCCACGGTATGTATGTTTTTTTAAACCATCAGCAGTAGGTAGGAACCTGTGTGCACAGACCGACTTTTCAATATATTTTCGGTTCAAAAGACACAGGCACGAATCATGAACCTGGTAGTTGTCATTCCATTCTGTCACCATACCTTTGAGTGCTTTTGTCTACTTCTTTATATGGCAATACCGCCGTCCATTGTGACTACCGTCAAGTCCTACCGGAGAAATCCCCAACAAGCTGACCTGACCCGGACTAGATCGAAGAGCAACTCCCCTCTGTCCAGATCTATTTGGGGACCACTCCTATTTGGGTTGCTACCCTTTAGCCACTACAACCACTATATATAATATAATATATACAATCACACATCACTTTTCCTTAAAACCTACCAGTCCATGCACAGCCAACTTCAGCCAAACCACCTGCACGGCCACGCCACAACCACCAAGGTATATTGACAGGGTCGTCGATGTGCCAGTGGAGAAGCAGATCCATGTGCCAACCATCCAGACCGTCACAGTCTGAGTGACCGATGGGATGCGAAGGAGGGAAGGACACCTCCAGGATGGCAGCCAGGTGTTGCAGGGAACTCCAAGTTTAAATGATTCAACATCCCCAACCTCCCACAATTTCATGCAAGTCCCCGCAATCCAATGGCTTTACACCCAGGTCAAGGACTTCTCACTGCCCCCCCCAAACCCCAAACCCCCTCAAACAACCGCAGAAAGCTCCACCGGCCTTGCCGGGCACCATGTTGAGTCCCAGCAGCTCTGCCCAGGTCGAGAAGACCGTGGAAATTCCCCAGGTCGAGTACGTCGTCACCTGGGCGCAGTTGGAGCGTTTTCACCCAAAAAGACCACGGGAGCAGAGGTGGGTGTGTATTTTTCAATGAGGGAGAGACCTCAGGAGGTCTCGCTATGAAAAATAGACACGCATTTGCTGGGGATGCAGTTCGGTGGGAGTCGAGCTGTAGGGGGAAGCGTGGCTGCTCCAAGTGGTGAAGTGGGTGTTAGACCAAGTGGGGCGGAAGTTTCAAGCAGCATACCCCAAACACTCCATGGCCCAAAATGCCTATCATTGGCCCCTGAAAACAACCACCCCAACTGATTTCTGCGAAGTTCTGGCACATTCCAGGAGTGTCTGGGTACTATTCTCCTTCCGCTGGTTGAAGAGTCCTCTGAATTCTTGGCTCTTTCTGGTCTATCATCCGGGCATTTCCAGCGCACATCATCCCGTGGGCAGAAGACCTCGCCTTTGACAAGGCCTGACTCGTTCGCCTTCTGACTGGGAGCATGTTTGACACATGGTTGACCTGGTGTTGTCAATGTGTTGACATCTTCATCGATCAAAATCCTATCAAACACATTGAAACACGAGTTCTTCGAATCCCCTTCGCTCCGCAGCGCCTTCTCCCACTCCGCTTCTGCGAAAGCCGCGCCGGGTCGGTGGGGCGAGCCGCGCGGGATGCGAGGACAACCACGTGCACATCCCCATCCAGAAGCAGCGACATGTGCAGGTCCACGTGCCTGTCGAACGCCCAGTAGAGGCCCGGAACACCTTTCAGCGCAGAAGAGAAGGGGGGTAGAGGACCATGTCTTCAGATGGTCAATGGTCTCACAGGTTCTGTGGAGTGTATATATATATATATATACTGTATATACCTGGTTCTTCAAAGTCACCTTTTGATAACCTGGTTTGAGGTCACTTAAGCCTCCTAAGGGTCACTTAGGAACCTTCAAAGGGCCACTTTGAAGAAGCTGGTATATATATGGACCTGCAATTCGCCCTCCCATTCCTTTGGTTCCGTTCCTCCCTCCGCGCCGAAGAACGCGGATGGGAGCTCTGGCTCACCCCCCTTCGTCCCGTTTCGTGTGGATTCTTCCTCGGTGTGGCGTTCTTTTTCGTCACGACCGTCGCGGTGGGATGGAGGTGAACGTCATTGAGACCATCGAGAAGGTCATCGATGTACCAGTGGTGAAGCAGATCGAAGTGCCCCAGGCACCCAACGACGGGGTTGCCAGCCTATTCGCTGGTGCAGGAATAGGCTGTGATCCTTTTACCCCTATTCTGGTTCAGTCTGAGAGAAAGTGAAAGTCTGGTCCTTTACCTTCTTGAACCGTTACCGACAAGTGTGACCATTGACTTGTCGCTGTGATGTGGAAGGACGGGCTGGGGAGGGATTGGCAAAACCGCCCTTTCCAACCCTGCGGTCGGTTGGCCACCTGTAGGTCGTCCATTCTGTGGATGTTTTTCCGTGGTCAACCAGGGGCAAGCCCGTTGCCATGCCATTTCAGCCATTTCATTTCACACATTTCACACATTTCACACAACTTTGACGACCAGATGGCACAGCTGAGGTGGTTTACAGTAGACAGTTCAAGGACATTTGGCCTCGACCCCGTGAAGTTGAGCTTCTACACTAAAACACCTTGTGTAGTTCCACAGCTCAATCCCCTCCCCCTCGTGGGGAATCCTGTCGTCCTTGAGAGGTGCAGACCATCGAGAAGGTGGTTGAGGTCCCATTCGCTCCTTGCAGACCATTTGCGAAACGGGCACAGCGGGGGAATTGACAGACCTCCAACTCTTTGAACAGCCATTAGTGGAATCCGTGGTGCTGGTGGAAGCAATTCTGTTATAGGGATTTTCGTAGATTTTCTGTTTTTCAAGCCATTTCAAGCGACAAAAACGGATTGCATCTTCCTGCCCTTGGTCACAGCCCGACAAAAATCACTGAAAAAGGCGCACTGGCCTTCCTGGCCGCCCTGGCCGCCCTGGCCTGACATGTTTCCACACATGTTTCGCTTTTTTGGGTCGTTGAAGACCCGGTGTTTTTCACAGATCTTCGGCGAAATCTCCAGTGGATGCCCGTTTTGAGCGCGCTCGCGCGCTCGCGCTCTCCCCCCTTTGGAGCGAGCGTAGGAGTCCCGGCCCACCATGTGGTTTACTGATCTAAGGATTTTACATGATTTTACACTACACTACCAGTCCAACCATTTTTAAAACGGGCTTGGACTTCCAGGGTTGTATTGTATATATATATATAGTATATAAGAATAAGAATAAGTAGTGTAGGGTAGTCGAGACCCATTGGTCTGTCCCCTTGTGTAGATCGATGTTGCCTCATTCTTCGGGGGAAAGCACGCAGTTGGCTTCCGTCCCGTGCGCGCGCGTAGCGCTGGCCCAAACGGCCCAAACGGTTGGGTGTTGGCTGTCGCATGTGATCTACCCCACCTGAGTGGAAGCGAAAGAAGATGGATTCCCAGGTGCTCACAGAGAGTGTCTTTTCCGGACCGAAACCTCGATGGACGACCGGTCTCGTTCAGACCAAAACCGAAGGAAACTCGTCCGAAACGGTGGATCGAAAGAACGGCGGTTTCGACGGATGCAAGCTGGTGGTGTGGACCTCCAAAAGACCGTTGTGAAGAGGGGCACACGCAGAGACACAGGTGACGCAGAGACACAAGCTGGAGCATCTTTTAGATTCACCTGAATCCAGATCGCCAGCACCCCAGCAAAATGGAATGCAGAGAAACCAAATCGTTTTCGCATGTTTTTCCTTGATGGGTTGACATGTTTTCAATTGTTTTACATATATTGTCATATTTGTTCAGATCAAGTGTCCCTTGATAGAATATGATGGGACGATCCCAAACCCTGACCAGTTTCTGCGTTTTGTTGGACTTCTTTCCTCCCGCGTCATACACAATCTATCCATTCAAGCCATCTACTCGGAGGTCACCTTCCTCATGGCCCATGACCTCGCCCGGTGACCCATGAAAAACCCCTTCGCCCCCCCGCGAAAACCAGCCGCCTCCGTCCGCGCGGTGTCACCGCACCGAACTGCACCGAACTGGGTTCCGGACTCGGTTTCCGGACTCGGACTCGGTAGGGTTCCGTGCTGGTGCTGAGGTTCAGGTGGTCGAGAAGGTGGTCGAAGTGCCCCAGCTGGGAAGCACCACCCAGGGCACCACGCGGGAGGTGGAGGTGGAGACCGAGCCACAGCGACAGGCGTGCGGGTGACGACCGGGGTGTCGAGGGAAAGAGCCATGAAGGGTGTTGATGGGGTCGGAAAGGGAAGGGTGGTCCTCACCAGGCTGTATGACTGATCATGGAAGATACTGACTGTGAAGGAAGAACACTGTGATATACCTTGTGGAGATTGTTTCAGGCGGGAGGAGCAGGAGTTCAATTGCCATCCAAAGAAAACGCAGAGCAAGAGGCAAGAGGCAGAGGTATCTAGAAGTATACACAAATGATCGATCACCTAAAACAACTCTTAAGTTACAACAATTCATTGCCATACGCCCTATCCGACGATATATGATATATGTCTGTAGAGCTATGCCTATCTGCCAAAAGAAGCGGTTGTGTTTCCAAATGAATGATTTGCTTTTTGCTAGCAAAAGATGTTCACCATGACCTTTGATGGCTGGTTCATTCAACCCACCCACCCACCTGTTATTTCTTCACCACCCAGGGACCCAAAACAAAACGGAACAGCTCATCCACCTTTTCATGGTTCCTCGGTTCCGGAGAGAACGTCACAGCCCATCCTCGGCTGACGGCTTCGGCACGTTCTCGGACCCGCTTTTCGGAGCCCAGCGGCGCTTCCGACCGTGGCGGCGCGCTTCCGCGCGCGGTTTGTTCGCGCAAGCTTGCGGGGCGGTTGGTTCGCAGGAGCAGCCACCGCAAGTGGTTCAGCAGGCAGGGATTGGATCTGATTGGAAAAGATCAACAGCTGATGGTGTTTGGGGCACATTCAGATGCACCAGGTTTTGGAGGACTTCAGCTTTGGCGGGTGAAAACCAGTTTCACATTTTTCTAAAGTTGGTGTGGCTGCCATAGTTTCAGGATGTTTTTGGTTGCGTTTGAGTGTAGAGGCTCGCTATGAGTCACTGTCTATTGGTCTATGGTTGTTTCGTTTCTTTCTTTTTTGCGGTTGGGTTCTTGGGGAGCCCAAATCAACCTACAGTGTGAGTTTAGGCATCGTGAAAGTTGTTCCCGAAATCTGTAGAGTCTAGGGTGTTTGGAAATGAATTCGATCTCAATCAACCATTGGGAATCCTTTCGATGACGTCTTTTCCATCGGACGGCTTTCCCACCACCAGAGAAAACTAACATGGACCATGCTTCGTCAATGATGGAACAGGAGGACCAATCTGCGTCCTGAGCCAGTCTACTGGGCCGGGCTGTTTTGGCAAACCCTGTCTCCGTTCTGCCAAGCTCCAAGGGGTTAACGAAGGATGGAACCAAAGGGAGCGGGGTCGTTTTGGTCCTCCTCCCTCCTCGTCCTCGACGCCGTGCGACCGGGGGGTCAGACGTCGTGAAGCCGTTGGAAGGTGAAGAGCAACAGTGATCTCCAAGTGTGAACGACCAGGAATTGGTCCAACAAAAAGGAGACTTTTTGAGTTTTTACCAAAAAAGGAACCCCCCAAAAGCAACCAAAAAACCCTTCAGATGAAGCCCATCCTTCCATCCACCAGCTGGTGGCCCGCGGTGTCCCAGCAGGTCATTGCTGGCTCGCCCTACCCAGTGCAATATGGCGCACCGGAGGCGCGCCATCCGCGATGGGGGGCGCGGGGATCGCCCGGGTGCCCCACCAAGAAGGTGTGAACGAGTGAAGGAGAGAAAACCAAGCCAGATCCATGGTATACGCATGCCTTCCCCCAAAAGCTTACTGTTGTTCCAGTAGTCTTCTGCTTTAGCTGTGAGTTTCTTCACTTCGAGGTCCAGGGGACCCCGAGGAAAACCATGGATGTGTAGGTCTTGGCATATTCCCCTGACAGACCTTCTTTACTGTAGTTGGTTTTTCCTTTTTTGTTGGGAAGGCCGGAAGGCCTTTCTTTTTTCCAAACGATGTTCATGTGTTCGACTCGGACTGGGGATCTTCGTTGATTTTAGGGAAGAAAAGTCGTCTGTCAGACGAGTTTCTCCACGAAAACTCTTTCCCTCACCAACTTGCAAGTGGAAAACCCTGTTTGTGGTACGTAGAGGAAAGTAGTTTGTCTTCTAGGTGTCCATATCCGGCACCACGTCACCACGCAACCACCATGCAATGTGTTCGTCCACAGTGTGAGGATATTCACGTGTCGAACCTCCTCAGCGCACGCACTTCGCACGCTTCCAAAGCCGAACCACTTCGAGGGCCGTTTGGGGGTCAACGACCCGACGGTCCGACGCTCCGGGCCGGATCCGACCCGGCCGCGCAGGTCATCACCCCTTCTCCTGTCCCAACGCAGACGGTGCGGGCCGACGCGCCGCGTGGGTCCGCGGAGCTCGGTGGAAGGGAGGGAAGAACGGAGCGACCGACCTGGGCAGGTCGGAAGAGGGGGGTCATCGGAGTCCTCCGTCCCAGCAGGATTCTTTCTAAGGAGCCGAGTAGAGGTGGGTCAGAGCCCGAACTAGACTACTAGCTCCGTACCCCTGGTGACGGGTCCTATTGTCACTTCACCTCGGAGTGTAGGTGGACAGAGTCTGTGCCAAGTGTTCTGCTCAGCTCGGGATTGACATTCACCTGGATGTTCCTCTCCAGCTCTCCATGAGCTCTGAGCCCTGAGCCGGTCATCCGCACTGGGGCTTTCCTCACCTCTGCGAAAACACCACCGATCGGTTGATGGTGGGCCGGAGCTATGATCATTCCCTTCGAAACCGAGCTTTTGGCATTGCTTCGATGGCTCGGAACGGCCCCACCGGTCACGTCAGGGCTTGGGGGAGTCGACTGGTGTTCACGGACACGGACCTGGTGGGTGCCGGTCCGAATGGACCCCGACCACACTTGGGGGTTTAGGGTTTAGGGTCGAACACAGGTCGCCTGGGAACATCGAACTCCCAGCACCGCCCATCGAAGCAGCACCCGTTTCCATCGCCCTCTGTCGCAGGAGACCGCTGTGGCGGAGTGGGGGCCGACCCAGGGGGAGAGGACCGTGTCTGCGGCGATCCGGGGAGGGAGTCGAACAGCGGTTTTGGGGGGCGGAGCGGTGCCCATGAAGCCTGACGTGCTCTGGAGCACCAGACATGGGTCTTGCTTGGTGTGGTTGGTTTAGCTGGTTGAGGAATTCATCTACAGAATCTACAGTATCTTTGTCCCGGCA